AAAAAAAAAAAAAAAAAAAAATCAGTCAATCCGTCGAAGGTAGGACATTAATCAATTGTCGATTTTAGGTGAAGCTTGCGCAGCATACGTATTCACAACTTTTCGGCACATTTCTATGCAACACGAAGCAAGAGAGGCTACAGTTAAGAATACGGGAGCGTACATTCTCGGTCTGGCGTTTTCTCAATTCCAGTTCCTTTATAAATCATTTGTATTCGCCTTTAAAGAATCAAGTAAGACATTTCTTTTATCAATTGATGCGTGTAATATATTGATACATTGTTACATTGTTGCTACACTGCTTGTTCCCTTGAATATCGTTGTTTCTTACATAACAAGCAACGACGATAGAAAGAGACGGCTGGCCGCCACTTTTTTGTACTTTTGATTTCAAGCATTTACATTTATTAGATATGTTACGTCTGTTATGAAGCGTTTTATACAGAGTCATTTTATATTATTTTATTTTATTTTATTTTATTTTTTAGGTATTATGGCCAAGTTGTAACGTGCGCGATCTTGTTCTATGGTCCGAAGTATATTTAGGTTCTATGGAATCTCCTCTCGGTATCAGGGATGACAAACAAAGAGTAACGATGTTGGACATCGAGGGCGGTGAAAGCGAAGAACCACAAGGCCAAATGACTAAAACTCGTTCATACGGCGATCTTATGCACACCCCCGACCATGCGGCCTATCTTCATCGCCGACTTAGCGATCCAAGCGCTTCGGTGGAAAAGTGATTATATTTATTTGATCTTGGAATCTTGGAAAGTGTGCAACGTGAAAATAAATAAAAACTGTTGTTGTGTCAATTCGTTTGTTCTTTGTCTTTGAGACAAAGAATCGAAAACGAGGAAAATGTTTTATTTGTATAATTGTGTACGTGATTGCAGGAAATTCGACTCGTTGACACTCGATTCGGAAACAGGCGAGAAAGGAAAGCACAGTTGTAGCACCGAGAATTGTATTATCGACGATACGGTGGAAAAAGACACGACGGAAAATCAGAATAAGACGCAAAATTGTGCAACAACGACGCAAACTTTGAACGATTCGCCAGTGAATCCCTCGGTAGACAGTTCAACGGATACGCTAATACCCAGTAACGACTCTTTACTCGATACAATTGACAAGGAAACGTAAGTATCGCCATATATTCGTCATTATGATATATGGGACAAAGTGCGAGTGCAACAAATTAATCAAGTAGACAGTCTATCTAAGTAAAAATTTATGCATATATTTATTTGATTCCAAAGTGTCAATTTTGAAATTCAAAATGCCAAATAACATCAATCAACAATAGGAATTCGCGATTCGCATGAAGCAACAAAAGTTTTTGTCAAGCAGCAAAACGCAGAAAAATTCGCCATCGGACATTGTTTCTCCGTGGATCGAGAGCAACGCGACCAGTCGAATTGTTTGTTCTTGCAATCGAAATTACAATCACAATCATAACGAGGGCAGTGACGTTAGTGACACCAGTGTACCGCAGATATCCAGAACACCTAGTAGCGTGTGTCCAGCTTCACCAACTTATCAAGATACAGTGCCAGATAATCCTGATAGATTGGACGACGTCGATGGTCTTCCAGTTATACATTGCGACGTTCAGATGCGTGTGCAACAAATAATCGTAGAACATAAGGTACTGTCTGTCTGTCCCCTTTCTCTTCTTTGCTTTTTTTCTTTTTGTTTTTTCTTTTTTTCTTCATATATTATACATTACTTTTCAGTTGAAGGAAGAAGCGTTGAGGAAGGAGTTACATACAACGAGAATGGCTCTGATCAAGCAAGTTTGTAATCACAATGCAGAGGTTGATCGTGTTGATGACATTGTGAGTCAACAATTAAAAATTATTCCATTCAAAATATGTTATGGTGTTATGATGTAGAGAAAGAGTACAGAAGAAGAAAAAAAGAAAAAAGAAAAAAAGGAGGAAGAAGAAATAATAATCGGAGAGAGAAATAATAATCGGATATATATATATATATATATATATAAAATGGAAAAAAGGAGATGTTTTTATCAGTTTAACGCGATCGTTTATTTTAGGGGTCATTACCGGATTCGATTGGAAGTACCGGCGATCACGGAGAATCATTACCTTCGGACATGTCGTGGGAAGCAGTGGAGGAATTGGGTCCTGCTCCTACTCTCTGGGTACCCGATCATGCGGTGAGTCGGTGTATGGGATGCGATACGGAATTTTGGCTGGGACGACGTAAGCATCATTGCAGGTATGCGGCATGTAGAAGAATGGCATTCGTACTCTCTTAATCATTGTTCAACCAATACAACATCTGTACAACATAGTTACACGATACAGCCAAATGTAGAAAGAATATAAGAATATAATTTTACAACGAGTTATTTGCTCATTTATCGCAGATGCTGCGGTAAAATCTTCTGTGCGGATTGTTCCGAAAATTCGACACCACTACCTAGCGAACAACTGTATAATCCCGTGAGAGTTTGTAGCGAGTGTTTCTCCCGACTTCATCGGCACACAAGCCCGTGTCAGTGTAATGCTCGTCATCAGAGCAGAGGAGAAAACGACGCGGAGTCGAATTCTGAAAACTTGACGACTTGTCAAAGATCGAAAGGCTTGAACCTGACGAAAGACAATTGCTGCGATAATTTGCTGCAGGTTGCGCATCAGAAAGCACAACCTCCGGTTACAGCAGCCACCGTAAATTGAAAACATTCTCGCGCAGGCGACGAAGGAACAGTTCGTAACACTCGCGTTATCGTTTGGTTTTCGACAATGCGATAAGTCAGTTGCGATACGTGTTCGCACGTTTACCATTTATGTCTGTGCGATGTATATCACACACAATACACACACACCCACACCCACACACACAATACACCCACACACACACATACACAAAAAAAAGCAGACTTATGTGTCGCGTGCGAGCTGACAGCTACCATCGTACAATTAGATGGATTTGGAGCGATCCAATATTTATTGCTAGAGTAATTATTTGTACGAAAAAGAATGCGTAGAGAGTGCATCGGAATAAGTGAGAGAAAAATAAGTCAAGTATACGATAGGTTGTATATGCCTT